CATCCTCACCATTCTCCCTCTCTCTCTCTCTTATCTCTCTACTACTACGTGCAGAATGAGAATGAGTCTCTCCGTGCTAATCGAAAAGGCACAGGGATTTTTCACAGTTTCAGAACGGGTGTAGGTAAAGTAGCCCGATGCCAGTTGCGGGGTTTATCCATTGGCTGGGGAGTTGTTCATCCTATCGATGGAAAAGTCCGTTGTCATGCCATTATAAACACACATGCGTACATTCGTACACATACACATGCGTACATTAGTACACATACACATGCGAGTAATATAGCGCGATCCCACAATACATGCGATTCTGCTCATTCAATCGATGGAGGTAGTGGGAGGCTCACCCGCGGGCTTTGAGACTTGCCCGTTTCCTCTCTTCCTCTCTCTTTCTCTTTTCTCACTTCGTTCCCTCTCTCCCTCTCTCCTTCTTTTTCTCACTTCGTTTCCACACACCCGGATTGACAGTGGATAGCGAAAGCGAAGCTGACTGAGTGCCAAGGTCATCGAGAGGGAGTAAACAAGCATGCATGCCTACTCCTCAGAACGCCATTCACTCCTACGTAGTGCAGCGAACAAGCCATGCCACAGTCTCCTCAAGAACCGAGCGCCGAGGTTCCTCTCTCTCTCTCTCCTTTTCTCCTTGATCTTTCTCATCCTTTTCTCCCCTCGACCTCTCACTCTTTCCTTCTCTTGGTAAGGATAATATAGTAAAAAAAATCATACTAACAGACAACCACAACAATAGTAATAATAACAATATTCGTGATAATAATAATAATAATAGTAATAATAAAATAATAATAATAATAATAATGATAAGATGAGCAATAACGAATTCCAGAAGGCCAACGACACTATACTCATGAGATCAGATAGTCGCGATGTGGAACCAAAGCAGAATTGCATCACGAGTTCCGCCAAATAAGAGCAAAAAAAAAAACTCACAAGTGACAATGTGCGACTAGCCCCATCATCATCCTCAATGAACCAATGTCGTTATCCTATCTGGCGCTCGACGACTAGACTACAAGTGGCAGATCCTACCTAGCCTACACTACTACTCCGATGATAATGTCAACAACTCTTCTGAAATACGAGCAGATAACGGTCGATGCCGCACGCATCAGCCTAGGTAAGTCTCACATATCACTCACGACCTTAATCCCCTACATACAGGTGCCACGTGGACCATTCTCTCCCTCTCTCTCT